AGGGGGAATCCTGTTATTGGTGTCTGTTTATTTGTGTGTGTGTGTGTGTGCCAGGGCCCCTTCGAAAGAGGGGGGTGGGGAGGGGCGGGGCCCCAGACCCACCCCCCCTCGAGGCGTGCGGCATCCGGCGGCGCGCCTTCTTCTCTCGGAGGCAGGGAGCTCGTGAGAGGGGCCCTGGGACACACAAATGAATACATGATTCCCCATATGTTTCCCCATATGTTTCCCATATGTTTCCCATAAATAACAGGATTCTCCATATGTTTCTATACTTTCTGGGCGTTTGTCTTCCCCCCCACTTCCCACACGTTCCCGTATTTTTTCCCGGGAGTCGACGACTATTTGTGATTGTGTGTGTTTGTCCCCTCCTGAGCTTGGAGCGTCGCAACTGCGGCGCATTTGCCCCCCTGCTCTCGCGATATCTCCTGTGATCGACTGCTGGGCTGGCATGACGCAGCGGGGACGGAGGAACCTCAGCAGGAGCAGGGGGACGAGGGGGATGGAAGAAAAGGAGGAGGAGGAGTTTGCGTGGTTGGCGTGACACAGAGATCAATTGAGTCCCCCTTTCATGCTGCGAGGATGGCCCAAATAAGTAGTTCGCCGGATTTAGTTTCTTTGCAGTGTCGAATGAGCAAGCTCCAGTGCAGTGCGTGCGCCCGCTGCCCCAACGTATGCGGCCGGTGACGCACCGTTCGCAGTCATTGCCAACACGTGTTGCAGCTGCCGCGACTTGGCCCACTGACCTAAGCCTCGGCAGGTGGCGGGTATGGAGTCATTCGGGCCCTGGTCGAGTTGAGGATCAAGTATATCCACATCCGCCGCCAATCGAGGCCCTGGAGGATCGACTCCCTGGGCGGAGGTTATTGACAAATCCCTGCCTCGCAAGTGTACCAGACGATATTGATTTCCCCCCCCCACCCACCGTCCGCTCCCGCGTAGTCGTACAAGCGTTGCCGCAGAAACGTCTTGGGCGCCGCGCGTCCATCTGGAAGGCCCAGGGCCTCACCCAAGAGGGGCCCTGCTGGGTCGTCTTGGGGCCCTCTTGGGGGACTCTGGGATTCCTCTTCCCCCCCCGCCGCCGCCCCCGCTGCTGCTGCTCCCCCCCCCCCCAGGAAGGGAACGGAGAGAGGGCAGCGGGGGGGGGAGGAGAGAACGGGTAGGGGAGAGGGGGGAGGGGGGGAGGGAAGGACGGGAAAGGGAGGGAGGGAACGGGGGGAGGGAGGGAGGGAACGGAGGGGCGGAGCTGCGAGGGGACGGAGGAGAGGACGAGGCCAGGAGGAGCAGGAGGGAGGCAGGATCGGGCAGCACTTGGCCCGGCCGCACCCGCGCCACCTGCTGGCTTCGCTCCCCGCGGGCTGCGCAGTCGGTCGCCCGCCTGCTGGTCGGCAGCGCGGACGTCAACCAGGCCTTTCTCGCTGGGCAAGGGGCAGGGGGGAGTTCATCGCGAAGGCCTTACGGCTGGTGCCGCCGACCCTGAGGAGAGACGACGACGACGACGACGACGACGACGACGACGACGACGACGACGACGACGACGATGGCGGCGGCGGCGGCGGCGACGCTGACGTGGGCCAGAGTCCTCAGGGATGCTTCCTGGGGTCACTTCGGAAGGCTCTCGGAGGCCCGTGGGCAGGGGGGGAGCTCCCTCCCTCCACGCCCGCCCTGGCCACGAGAAGGAACGGGGTCCTGACGGGTCCCAGTCGCCAGGGCCAGCTCAGCATCCTGAGGCGTGTCCTCTGCCGTCCCTGGGGCCCGAGGAGGACCGGCGACCGGCCAGGGGGCCTGGAAAGGAAAGCTGACCCCCCCCGCCGCCCGCATCCCGCCTGGCTCACAAGAGTTCGCATGGGTTTCGGGAGAGCGCAATGCGGGAGCGTTCGTGACATGAGGGCGGCTTCGCGACCTGGGTGGTTGTTGGCTGGGCGCGTTTGTCTTTTTGGGGCTCTCTGCTTCGGGGGTCGCCACTTGGGACACCGTGGGCCGGGGACCCCTTGTCGAACACAACCGTCCAGCTTTCGCGCCGAAGGTCGGTTGAGACCGATGGAGACCGCCAGAAATCGCCGAAGATTGTCCGACGACCGCCGAAGACCGCCGAAGACCGTCCGAAGACCGCCCGAAGACCGCCGAAGACGGCACAGGAGCGACGGGTAACAAGGGTCCATGGTCGAACACGTTGCGAATTCCGAACCATACCCCCATCGATTCAGGAGAATTGGCTGGTGGTGGAGGGTCGAGTCGGAGATCGACTACCTAATCCTTTGACCCTGCAATGTTGGTCTAACCTACGGAAGCTCTTGTAAGTGGTATATCGATTGACAACCTACGTATGTTGTCGTAGACTCGACGACAAAAAAAGGTGCTGGGGTAAATAAAGATGAGGTCGATCCCCGACTTGAGAGGTAGGGTTCGGACGTCGCCGCTGTCGCGCGCGGCCCCCCTCCCCCCCGACGCTCCCTCGCTCCCTCCTCGCTCCCTCCTCGCTCCCTCCTCGCTCCCTCCTCGC